TTAGTAAAACAAAAGGAAATAACTGAATGAGTTTACCAAGGTCAGGAAACGATCAGTCAGTTGTGCAACTAAGAGTTATCACATTATTTCAGGATATTAGCTTGGCTCTTTTTAACTGAACTAAGTCCAACATGTCCTAATTTCATCAACTGCAACAACAACAACATACCCAGTGTATTTCCACAGACCTTACCCCTACCTTGTGAAGATAGAGAGGCTGTTTCCGGAAGATCCTCGGCTTAATATAACAAAATCACAGCAGTTATAACAAAGATCTACAACAACAACAACAACAACCCCCTAGTAAAATCCCACCAGTGGGGTTTGGGGAGGGTAGAGTGTACGCAGACATTACCCCTACCCCGGAGGGTTAGAGAGGCTGTTTCCGAAAGACCCTCGGCTCAGAGACAATAGATCCGTGACAACAGAAACTAGAAAAATAATATCAGCAACATGAGAGACAACAAATAAATAAATGGAAAAGCAATAACACAAATACTATGCAAAAGTGTGAAACACAACATAAACCGCTAGCAATCCTAGACAAAACACTATCAGACTAGCCGGTACAAAGAATAAAACCGCTCGACTATCCCTTGACCTACAACCATAATGCTTGACCTACACACCTTCCTATCAAGAGCCATGTCCTCGGAAATCTGGAGCCGCGCCACATCCTGTCTGATCACCTCGCCACAATACTTCTTAGGCCGCCATCTACCTCTTCTCGTACCTGCCAAAGCAAACCACTCACATCTCTTAACCGGGGCATCTAGGCTTCTCCTCTGCACGTGCCCTAACCATCTAAGTCGCGCTTCCCGCATCTTATCGTCCACCGGGGCCACGCCAACCCTCTCTCGAATATCTTCATTCCAAATCTTATCCAACCTAGTGTGCTCGCAGATCCATCATAACATCCTCATTTCTACTACTTTCATCTTGTGGATATGTGAATTCTTGACTGACCACCGCTCTATAACATGGCTGGTTTAACCACCGCTCTATAAAACTTACCTTTAAGTTTCAGTGGCACATTCTTGTCACACAAGACTCCAAACGCTAACCTCCATTTCATCCACCCCAATATCGTGCGTAATATCCCCGTCGATCCCCGTCGATCTCCCTATCTACCTGGATAATTGACCCTAGGTACTTGAAACTTTCTCTCTTAGGGATGACTTGTGAGTCAAGCCTCACTTCCATGTCCACTTCCCCCGTCACATCGTTGAACTTACACTCCAAATATTCCGTCTTAGTCATATTCAACTTGAAACCTTTAGGCTCCAAGACCTGCCTCCATACCTCCAGTCTCCCATTAACGCCGCCTCGCGTTTCATCAATCAGAACTATATCATCTGCGAATAAAATACACCATGGAACCTCCCCTTGAATATGGTGTGTCAGTGCGTCCATCGCCAGGGCAAATAAGAACGGGTTGAGCGCAGATCCTTGGTGTAACCCCATAACCACCGAAAAAAGCTCTGAGTCACCTCCGACAGTCCTAACCCGAGTCATAGATCCATCATACATATCCTTTATCGCCCTAATATAAGTTGGATAGCTTTTGTAGTAGAATCGCCCGGCATGAACCCGAACTGGTTTTCCGATATAGACACCGCCCTCCTTACCCTCCCTTCCACCACCATTTCCCAAACTTTCATGGTATGACTTAGTAACTTGATACCCCTATAGTTGTTACAATTTTGAATATTAACTTTGTTCTTGTATAGCGGAACCATCGTACTCCACCGCCATTCATCTGGCATCCTCTTCATCCTGAAGATAACATTAAACAACCCAGTAAGTCACTCCAAGCCTGCTCTATCCACATACCTCCAAAATTCTACTGGAATCTCGTCTGGTCCGGTCGCTTTGCCCCGACTCATCTTACGCATCGCTCCCACGACCTCCTCAAAGATCTATGGAATCTAATTTCTTCAACTTGACACGCTAATCTTTTTCCCTGCACAGAGGCAGTAACGAGGCATCACTAACCTATGCATCCATCATTTATCTGGAACATAGCTCAAAAGAGCAAAGGGCAACACCCCCACTTGCTTTTTCATGGTTAGGCGCTTAGGCTACAGAATCTACATATTACCTTGCATATGTTTCATCCTTGACATTGATTACGAAATATTGAATCCAGTTATAAGAGAAGAAAACAGGTGGAATATTTTTCCAGTAGTTTGCAGTAAACGGAAACGGTAAACAAAGTCGAAATGGATAAGCATATATAAGGTAATTGGAGTGCATTCCACCTACACACTAAAGGCAACATCTTTGAATACTCAAGGAAACACACACTCTAAGCTTTTACTCTTTTAGCTAGTCAATAGAGTTGGGACTTGGGGTCGGCTATATGAATCCTCACTGACCACGTTACTCCATTTAAACCAATTATGCAAATACAAATATTAATACTCAAGGAAACACACTCTAAGCTTTTACTCTTTTAGCTAGTCAATAGAGTGAGATAAATGAACAACAACTACGCCTCAATCCCAAACAAGTTCGGATCAGCTATACGAATCCTAACTGACCAAGTTACTCCATTTAAATCATCTCATACCAATATTATGCAAATACAAATATAAAAAAATACTCAAGGAAACACACTCTAAGCTTTTACTCTTTTAGTAAGTCAATAGAGTGAGATAACTAAACAACAACTACGCCTCAGTTCCAAACAAGTTCGAATCAGCCATATGAATCCTCACTGGCCAAATTACTCCATTTAAATCATCTCATACCAATATTATGCAAATACAAATAAAAAAAATACTAGTTTCATAATAAATGTTTGTAAACACCAACGGTATATTTCTATTTCATCAAATTGAGCAAAACTAAGTAAGATTTTCAAGGGCTTACATCAGGAGCAGAGATTTTCAACCAACTTGGTGGAGTCCTTTTGTACGGAAGTGCTGAAGCTGAAATACCCTTACTGTGAGCAAAAAAAAAGATTAACATACAAAGATCAGTACAATGTATTATCAAATATAGTATTATATAAATGGAAGAAAGAATGAACGAACCCTCGACTGTGCATACGACCCATGGCGGCTGTCGGCGGTGTTCTGGGGTGTGGCCACAGCAATAAAACCCTAAAATGGTTATTTGCGGGTAATTACGGCTTTATAGACTGCTCATTGTTTTTCCTTTTTTTCCTTTGGCAATGAAGTCTTTGCGTGTGTTCGAAACGACTGAAAATGTTTTACGTGTAAAATGTTTTCCAACAAAATATTTTTCAAGTATTAATTTTATTTATTTTTCGGTATTTGATACGCAAATTAAGAAAAATAACTTCTCAAGAGTATTCATAAATAATTTAGATACAATAAACATGAAGTCATAAATTTTCGAACCAACAACCTTTCGAACCCACAAATTTTATAAACTTCTAAACCGCTAAACTTTCGAAACCGCAAAATTTCGAACCCGTAAACTTTATAATTTCTAAACCCGTAAACTTCCAAACACATAAACCTCTGAACTCATAACTTTTGAAACTTGTAAAATTTCGAACCTGTAAACCGAAAGATGAAAAAACTAGAACTGAAAATATATTAAAAAATATATTTTTTTTCCCCGGGAGAGGGGGCNGAGAAGGAGTTTTGAAAAATATTTTTCCTTCTCTTGATAAGTAAAATATTTAAGCCAACCAAACATGTGAAAATTGGAACTTCATATCAAACACACCTTTTTTCTTCGTTTTAAATCTCGCAATAATAATAATAAAGTACACTTCTAAAATAAGTAAAATTATTGCACAAAAGTATATTAATTTATTATTCCCTGTATTTTAATTTATGTGAACTTGTTTGACTGGGCACAGAACTTAAGAAAAAATGAATACTTTTGAAATTTGTGATCCTAAACAAGTCAAAAAGGGGTTAAGAGTATTTGTGTGATTATAAGGGTAAAATTGAAAGTTCAAGCTAAATTATTTTTCAATTTAGAAAGGGGTCATTATTTTTGGAACGGACAAAAAAGAAAATAGGTTCACATAAATTGCAATGGATGGAGTATGATTAAACTATAAATTACTATGAGAATATATAGTAATTAATTACTTATAATTCATAAATAAGAGTGTATGAAAATATGTGTATATATTCATTGAATTAGTGTATATATCGGCTGCGAGTGCTGATTTTTAACCTTCTAAAAGTTGTTTTTGAAGTTTTTCAATTTTTTTTTTAAATTTAGAAAAGGAGGAATTTTGCCCAAAATATTATCAAATAAATATAATTTTACGTGTTTGAATGGAGGTGTTAAAACATACACTAATTCTTTTTTGTTAAAATGACTGAACTATTTTTAAAATTATTTATAAACTATTTAAAATTTAAAAGTATTTTTACATAAAGATGATTTATAGAAATGGAGTGGAAAGAGTTAGGAATTTTATTTGGAAAAGGATAATGTTGGGAATTACAAAGTATGAAGGATAAAATAGTAGAATTAAACATATTAACAACTTGTTTGGATGGTTGTTACATATCGTTTCATAACGTATCGTATCGTATTGTATTGTATTGCACTGTATTGTTTGATGAATACAATGTTTGGATAGATTGTAACGTTTGCCATCGTTTTATGATATCTCGCACCAGCAATACGAAGAATAAACTCGCGATATTATAAAGAAGAATTATAATATAGGGTAAAATTACTATATAAAAGGTAGGGTAAATGATAAAATAAGATTAGTATTTAATAATAACAAAGAGAGATTGAGATAAAAAGATAAGGTAATGATGCTACCACACCAAATCGGTCGTTACATAAAGTGACATATTTGTCGTTACGTAACGATTAATTTACCGATACGATACAATAAAATTTAAGTAACAATCAAAATAAAAATCGAATTTAAAGTGAAAATACGATACAATACAACAATAACCAATCATCCAAACAACCTGTAAAGTATTTTTAAGCTATATTGTTGGGTGATATTGATTTATAAAATACTTTTAATGTTTAAGCAAATAAGTTAATACCTGCTTATAAGCTTATCAACAGACTTTCAAGTTTCAACTCACAATGATTGATGCAAAATCTCTCTTTATTTCCTTCTCCAATAATTGATAAAATTGATTTTGTTGGCCAGAGAAGTCTGATCGTGAACGTTTGCAGCTCATTGAGTAACTCCAGATTACCAGGTTCTGAAAAATCTCCCTATTTTTTACCCTCCTCTGCTTTTGCTCTAGATAATAAAGTAGTAATTTTTTTTTTTTGAAACATTCAATTTTGAAGTTGAAAACTCCACATTTGGTCAATTATACAAATAGGTATTGTTATACTCCCTTGGTTCCAATTTATGTGATACTTTTCCTTTTTAATCTGTCCGAATATTCAAAAGGAGTAATATATTTTTATATTTAGAAATAATTTAACTTTAAATTTCTCAGTTCATACTTAATGAGATGATTTACAGTCACTCAAATGTCTTTGTATTGTTTTGGAGTACAAGTTTCAAAGGTCCACATAAATTGGAAGGGAGGAAGTAATATTTATCTTTTTTAAGAAAAATAGCTAAAGATTTAGAAAGTACTATAAATACAAGTAATAGTTGGATCAGGATGCAGAGAAGAGGATTAGGAAGTGAAGATGGATATTAGATGCTTCAGTATTAGAAACAAATGAAGTTTAGAAATGTTTAACAGAAGCAAATAAGAGAACTGTAATAATTGACCCCTGATACCAAATAAACCAAAAATAGTTTCTTTTTATTTTTATTTTTGGTCATAGCTGAAAAATGAAATTAGTTACAGTATTAATACAACTAAAACATCTGAAAGAAAATTTACAGCAGTATTTCCTTTTTAATAGCCAGTCCCAGCTAGTTTTGGGATTGAGCCTAGTCGTTTTTTACTAACTCTTAGGGCTCGTTTGGTACTAGGGATAAGGGATAATTAATCCAGGGATTAAAATTGAAATGAGTTTATCCTACGTTTGGTTGGGATAAAATCGCGGTATAACTAATCCGGGATTAGTTATCCTGGGATTGTAGTGTTATTTTTATCCCTATGGGTGTGATAACAATCTCGAGACAACTAATCCCGGGAGAATTAATCCTGGATAACTTGTTTCCCAACGGAACGACCCCTTCATGCTTTCCACTAATGACAGATTGAGAATTATTTTTGCTCTTCTTTTTCTAACAACTTTTTGAAAAGTGTTGCATAGTTTGTAAATTCTGCTTAGTAGGGACCTAATCACACGAACTTCTTCTCAGAGTCGGAGTCAGACCGCGCCTTATGAGGAAAGGGGGTTAAAGGACAGATCATCTGTCGAAGCGACAGCTGATAGTGACGATATTAAGAGGACAGAATAACCGACAAAGAGAAATGGAAGTGGTTGACAGCAAAGGTATGGTTTGTGTAACTGGTGGAACAGGATATCTAGCGTCATGGCTGATAATGAAGCTTCTTCAACATGGCTACTCAGTAAATGCTACCATAAGGTCCGCTCGAGGTTAATGTTTCCCACTTATTCTATTCATTGTCTTTTAAGCTAAAAGTGTAATATCTGATGAAAAACTTTGAATGAATTTTTAGGTCATAAAACAGATGTTAGCTACCTCACTAACTTGTCCGGTGCATCCCAAAGGCTACGGATATTTCATGCTGATTTGGACAAACCGGAAAGCTTTAGTGCAGCTATTGAAGGATGCGTTGGAGTATTTCATGTTGCTCATCCGATGAATTTTGGAGACCAAGAAATTGAAGATGAAAAGATAAGAGAAGCAGTTGATGGAACATTGGGGATTTTACGCGAATGCCTCAAGTCAAAAACAGTAAGACGAGTTGTTTACACTTCCAGCAGAACAACACTTATGTTTAATGATAAAGGTTTAGATACAGTGGATGAGAGCTCATGGTCTGATATCAGTGTCATGAAAACCTTAAAGCCTATATCTACAGCTTCTTATGTGATTAGTAAGACGTTAGCGGAAAAGGCTGCTCTTGAATTTGCTGAGAAGCATGGACTTGATATGGTGACTGTTATTCCTAGTTGGATACACGGTCCCTTCTTAAGTCCTCGATTCCCAGAGTCATTACGATCAGCCATGGCAATGATTTTTGGTATTCCCCTTCTGCTCTTCAATCCCTGTAACTTTCTCGTGTCGAATTATTTACCATCTAGTTTAATCTCTTATCTACTGCTATATAGAAAAAGTAAGAAAGGAAGCTTTTAGTTTCTCATAGTCCCCTCTGCAAGTCCATTTTCTAAACCTCAACTGTATTGAGAAGAATTTTGATTAAGGTGTAGCTGATTGATATAATGAGCAGAATCGTTACCTAAACATAAGAAAGACATAAGTTTTAGATAGATTTTGAGTGGAGACATTATTTCAAAGCTCTTAATAAAGGAAGCTAATGTTATATCTATATGTTTGTCGCTGTACGAACATTTTGCAATACAACTGCTGGAAGCAATATCCTTATTTTCCTTTCTTCTTTGGCATAAGCATGTCTTGATCTGAGCAGTTTATGAACTCATCTTTCTTCTTCAACAGGCATAATCGCGTTCTTTTTCAGAGATGGTTCAGTTGATTTTCATCATTATTCCTCATTTAAAGATTTGTTTCATGTGATCACGTCGTGTTTTTTTTAGAAAGACTTCTATGAGTTTTGCCCATATCGACCTCTAGTTTTTTTGTTTGTTCATTTTCACTAAGGAGCATTTTCTTTTTCATTCTTGCCGAGAAACTTCCGGCTCCTAATTTCTTCATCTAATTCATTCTTTTCATAATGCTCTATCTTTTCTTTGGGATAAATAGCTAAAAAGCATCACATCTTATCCCCACTGTTTACATACATCACTTCTAATTGTGCTAGATAGCTAGACTTTTTTTTTTAAAATGTTGTGTTGAATCAGCTTATGATGGCGAACTTTCTCTAGATTAAGCCTTTCTCTCTTTGTCATGTCTTCTGAGTTATGCAGGTTATCAGGAAAACTGCATGAAGTATCCCTCGCTTACCCCATTCGTGCATGTAGACGACGTTGCCAGTGCACACATATTCCTTCTGGAGTATAGTAAAGCAAAAGGGAGGTATGTTTGCTCTTCTGTAGAAGTTACACCAGATGAGCTATTTAAGTTCCTTTCAACAAGGTATCCTGAATATCAAATACCTGATGCCGAGTGGGTTCCTGTTACGCTCCTTTAGCTATTTTTTCCCCTCCGAGATTAAAAGGAAGTAATTCAACTTATCTTTTACCTATTTTCAGTTCCTTGAGGGAGATTGGAGGGCTTAAACACCCTAGCCTTTCATCAAAGAAATTTTTGGACACTGGATTTAAGTACAAGTATGGCCTTGAGGAAATGTTTGATGGTGCAATTGAATGTTGCAAACAAAAGTGTATACTCTAGTTCAGGTTTAAATCTCAGCGGAAAGGCAAAAACACTAAGTGAAGTCTTCCTATTTGTCGATGTCTTGGTGAACAGAGTTAATAGGTGTTGTGGGAGGTAGCAGGTATCTCGTGAAATTAGTCAAGGTGGTCCGGACACTTAAGAAGGATAAGAAAATCGATCATATTTCGTGCACTCTAGTTCAGGTTCAAATCTCAGCGGAAGGCAAAACACTGGGCAATAGCTTGCTACCCATCCAAATTTTGGTGCACAGAGTTATCCGGTGTTGTGGGAGTTGGCAGATATCCCGTGTTCAGATTGGATTCAGATTGGAAGATGGAAGTGTTAAGAAACTTTGTGACAATGGATTGCAGAGAATTAAACAACCTCCATTTTTGGATTTTTCCTGATTGGTGAAATTAAAAATCATTGTTTTAGCTTCTTCTTTGAAGCATTTTTTGAATTAATGTAAAGTATTAAGCATTACATATAATGGAGATGTTATAAGAAACACTATCTGCTTTTGTGTCTTGTTTATAAGAAACAGAGTCATGATTTGAAATTTATGAATTCGAAATTAAAGTCTTTTTAAGTTATTGGATTCGGTCGAACTCGTAACCGATACTCTAGCTTCGCCCCTAATACCTTATATCTTGTATCTTTCTTAAGGCATTCGGTTTCATTGACATTATTACTTAAGAGTCTAGACTAATCGACTATTTGGATTACTCTTTCTACTAATTTCTGGAAAAGCAAAACATTTGGAAACTGATACTGATTCAAATCTTAAACGGGACGTACTAAATCTAAACATATTAAGTACTACTACTAGCTATTTGAAATTAAATGCACGAATAGTTTGCAATATAAATAGTGCTATATCATTCTTTTTGGAATTCCACGATCCATCAACTTGTTTTCGATCTTTATTTTTTCATCTGTTAAATCACCGAGACGAACTAAGCATCTGTATCTTTCTTTCCTAATCATGTTCTTGTATATGTAACAAGCTAGTCCGAACACTATCGTTATAACAAGAAAAAAAAAAGGAGAAAATACAAAGGAAATCTCTGATCCACTTCAAACTAAGGGTGTCAAACGGATCGGCCCGGTTGGGACGGGAACTGGCCTGTGCCGGGAAAGATTTCACTACCGGGTAACCAGACCGGTCCAACCCGGTAAGGTCTTGTCAATCGTGAACCAGTTCAACGGCTAGTTCAATTTTTTTTTTAATAGTCTTGACCGTTGGCAACGGTCAACTGCCATTTTGACCGTTGCCCAACGGCAAATTTGCAAGAATAACCCTTTTTGGGTATTTGTTTCAAAAATAACATTTTTATTATTTATTATTTTAACCCTTTGAAAAACTATAAATATACCTCCCCCTCTTCTTTATTTCTTCACTCATCTCTCAATTTTCAGACCCAAATTCTCAATTCAAGTTAAATCATGCCCAGTGCGTCTAGAGTGCGCTCACATGTTTGGGAACACTTTGAGGTGGTAGAAGAAAATGAAGAAGTTCGCAAAATAGAGTGCAAGAACTGTGGTCGAGTCTTAAATGTTCGTCGAAAGTGGAAGGGCACAAGCTGTTTAAGGAGGCATATCAAGGGTTGTCTTGAGCGTCCTCCATAAATTGGTATTTAAGTTGATTTAAAACAATTTGTGTTATTTTGAATTTATTAGACTTATTTAAGCTTAATGTGTTAGTTTATTAGACAAGTTAATTTGAAGTATTATTATGCAATGAAAATATAAAATAAAAGCCTTTGAAGTTTGATCCTTACATATTGGTCTTATTAAATAATTTTATATAACCACTTAATTTCAATTTTCAAATTTTAAAATTCAAATTTTAACACTCTAGTAGATGGCCAAGAAGTTCATATTGATTATGAAGAACTTACTAGGGCAATGCAAAACCTTTGAAGTTTGAAGATTGTATTTAATAATTTAAATTTGAATTTACTCTTTTTTCTTTAATTTTGTTGTTGTAAAATGTAAACTTTAAGTTGCAAATTTAAATTAAAAAAAGAACTTACAAATTATAAGTTATATTTGTTTTTCATGTTCATTCTATTATCTTAAATTCGTAACGAATTTTTCAAATATAAGGCTTTTAAAGCCTTTGAAGTTTTTAACTTTTTATTCAAAATTTCAAATATAAGGCTTTTAAAGCCTTTGAAGTTTTTAACTTTTTATTCAAAATTTCAAATATAAGGCTTTTAAAGCCTTTGAAATTTATTCAAACATTCTTTTTATACGTTAGTTTTTAGTATAAATAACGATTGTTATACAAAATACAAAAAAATAAAAAAACAAAATCGGCCCGGCCCAGCCCATTAGACCCAGAACCGTTCAGGTTCAATTTAGCACCGGCTAAACCCGGAACCTATAAAACCGGTAAATTATAATCGATAACTGGACCGATACCGAAACCGGCCGACTCCCTTTTCCTCTGACCCGGTCCGGCCCCTTAACACCCATACTTCAAACTTCGGGGGAAGTGCACAGTTAGCCACTAATTAGAGATGTTTTTACTCTTTAGCTACTATTTAAAATGTATTTACTCTTTAGCCAGTGCTTAATAATTTTTTACCTGCTCGGACGAAAATACCCCTGTGCTAGACATGGGTGCTGTGTAAATATTAAGGACATGGTGTCCTTAACTTCATGAATGTTGTGTAAATATTAAGGACGAAGTGTCCTGTATTTGCACCTTCCGTTGTTAAACTTTAGGACATCATGTCCTTAACCTCATATGCGCAGTGTAAATGTTAAAGACATGACGTCCTTAACTTTATGTGTACAGTGTAAATGTTAAGGACATAATGTCCTTAACTTGTATTTGCACCTTCTGTTGTTAAACTTTAGGATCTCATGTCCTTAACTTCACATGTGCAGTGTAAATATTAAGGATACGGTGTCCTTAACTTCATGTGTGCAGTGTAAATGTTAAGGACATAGTGTCCTTAACTTTATGAGTATTGTGTAAATATTAAGGACATAGTGTCCTTAACTTCATGAATGCTGTGTAAATATTAAGGATAAAGTATCCTGTATTTGTATTTTTCGTTGTTAAACTTTAGGACATCATGTCCTTAACTTCATGAATGCTGTGTAAATATTAAGGATAAAGTATCCTGTATTTGTATTTTTCGTTGTTAAACTTTAGGACATCATGTCCTTAACTTCATATGTATAGTGTAAATATTAAGGACATGGCGTCCTTATCTTCATGTGTGCACTGTAAATGTTAAGGACACCATGTCCTTAATATTTAATAGCACTCATGAAGAAAGGGTAAAAACGTCTTTTCATATTAATTTTCATAAAGTAGTGACTATTTTTGCTCAGCATTAAAAATACTAGATTAAAACTAAATACCATATTAAAAAGTGGCTATCCCAAGTCATTTCTACTCAAACTTCATAGGTGCTCTCGTTGTCAAGGCCAAAACTCAAGGGGTGTATTTAGAATTAAACCAAACAGTAAAAGAACATAAGAAATGGTCAAATGAAATTACGTGGCAAGAAACAGAACAGTGGGATGTCCTAAAAAGAGTGAAGGTCACAACTCTGTTTTCACTAAAAAGAAGTGGAAAAAAGGAAAAAAGAAAAGTAAGAACAAAGAGAAGGAAGAAGGAAGAAAGTAGGCCATGGGTGATCTACTCTCATGGCTATTTTCCTTCTTCCTTCTTGTTGCTGTTCTTGCTACTATCCTCTACCAGGTAAATATGTTTTTTTTTTTTTTTTTGTGAATATTTCTTAATAAATTCATAAATCTAATACATATCTGTACTGGGCTTTTTTTTGTTGCTTATTTGGTAATTTGGGGGTTACCCATATAGATTCTTTGTAATAGTTATGTTACCTCATTGCATTTTTGGCTATTCTTGGGGGTGATTGAAATTGGGAAAGTGAAAAAATCAAAGCTTTAACAAAAGGGGAAATTTTGAATAGAAGCAATTTTACTTGATTTACAGCTTGTTTGAATGGTTGTTAGCCATTGTTTTATAATGTTATCGTTTTGTACCGTATTATATTGAGAAAAAGAAACTAGAGCAGCACAAATATGTGCTAGTCTGAAATTTGAGTTTCTAGTGCTTCTTAGAAAAAGAAAAAGAATTTAATTTTCTTGCCTCTAAGCTTTTGTAAGTGTCGCTCCTAGGGCTTTGGTCTAGTGGTAAGAGCTCAATTTGTGATGTGTGGGTTAGACATGTGAGCCCCGCCATAAATAAAAGCCTGGTATTTAAGTAGAAAAGGGTAGATGGACGGCCCATTATCCACCAAGTTTGGAAATGTGATCCATCGGCCTCGGGGATTTCTTGGTTCTCAAAAAAAAAAAAAAAGGAATCTTTTGTAAGTGTCAACCTATGAATTCCCAAGAAGTTCAATGGTCTTTGAAGTAAAAATAGATTCTTTTTAATGTCTGCTGGTAAATGAGAGGTAACCTCGCACCCCCTCGGAAAAAAAAAAGATTCTTCTTTGCAATTCCTTTTGTTGTTATTCCCAGATAGAGTCTAGAATAATAGGTGAAGTACTTCTGAATATTTATAGCTCAGTGTAGAGATAAGGGTGGGAATTTGGAGAATCTCTAGTGTAGAAAACCCTTAATTTGCTTTAAAAGACAAAATATTTAGTCATGAAACGGAACTCATAGCCAACTTTAACTAGTTTGAAAATTGCAGAATTGTTGATTGACTTTCAAATCATCCAAGAAATTAAAGCTTGTTTCAGCTGATTGACTAGACATAGGTTTGAGAATGCCTTTGCTGTAATAAGTCATTACCAAGATATCTCGTCAAGGGTTCGGACCATTATTTAAGTGGGGTAGAGGGGCGAGTCCATTATTCACCAAATTTGGAACCGTGCACAGTAGACTCTCAGGCATTTCTTGGGTATCAAAAAGTCATAATCAAGATATCTTGAAGGGTTTCAAATAGTGATCATACAATTAGACCCAAGGGCATTATTTGTAAATGATGTTTGATAATGTAGGAACACAAATTGTTGTGATATACTAATGAGGTTTGATTATCGTATGTTGTTTTGATCTATTTAACCCTTAAAGATGAGAGACTATGACGAATCATTCTAGAGTACATGGGCAATAGTTAGGAGAGGTGTATCAGCGGCGAGCAAAAGAAAGATTATTAGATACCTTAGGGAAGCCTGGCCAGTACCACTGGTGCAAGTTTCCCCGCATGTGGCTCGTCTGTAATAACACTTCAGCTAAGTCTAACTAGGCTCAAGTGCAGACCCTTTCACCGTGGACCGAGGCTACACAAGGGTAAAACGGCAAGGAAACTTCGCTGAGGAATGAAGATTCTTGTTTGTTTTTCTTCAAAACCCTCAATCTCCTCTCGCTCGCCTCTGCTAACAGGGTCTCGGTTGATTTCCGTTCCTTTCAAGCTTGGTCAAACCTATAGTTGAATATTATTGACTTAAGTTTCGGCGGAGCCAAGCCACAAGCCAAAAGTGACTTGATCCCACTCAAAAGATTTTAGTTGTATTATGTTGTGTGACCACCAGTTTGGCAGGCTTATCGTGCTTCTTAATGCTTGCTTCCCTGTGTCGAGGAAGATAAACTTAAAATATACAATATCTACTTACTTTAAAACAAAAAACTTAAAGAATTAGAACACAAAATCTACTTTTACAATTAACTCTCTAGTGATACAGGCTATCTAAAATGGGCTTGACGTCAAATGATTATAATTATTAGCTATGATGATAGGGTCCAATGTTGTTGAATGGAGTGAATGAACTTTCTCAAATTGGAAATCTGCAAAAGGTGTATATTGTTTTGATATTTAAAAAAGAAGACATTAAGACATGAGCCATTCTCACATATTTATATTTAGTTCACATTAGCAATAGTCTACTTGAGTTTCACATAGCATAGACAGTCCAATAAAAAAAGGAGGGTTTTAGTAGGTTGAACGTAAACGTAGAAATAATTTAGATTTTTAGATGAATTGTCTGAATAGAGATGGACCCAGACGATTCATAGGATTGAGAGAATAATTAGCAATATTTCAAGTATCACTGATCCTTAACTTCATAGCTTCCAAAACATACTATTTTTGAGCTCACCTTCTCTCTCTTTTCTTACTGGTGTTTTCTTCCTTATATTTGGGCTTGGAGAATATTACAATTGCAGTTATTTATTGCAGCTCATGTGCTTGGCAGACCTTGAATACGATTATGTTAACCCTTATGATTCGGCATCTCGGATTAACAGAGCAGTGGTACCAGAGTTTGTTCTTCACGGAGCGCTGTGCTTCCTACATCTTGTGACGGGGCATTGGTTGATGTTTCTGATATGTCTACCATACCTATATTATAACATCAAAGTGTAAGCATCTATAAATGAAACATGTAGAGAAATCGTCGTATGTGACGGTTGTTAATCCCTTTAACTATTTCTTAGCTCTGACATCTCAACTGCTGTTAACCTTTGATCAGCTATGCAGATCGCTCCCACTTGGTAGATGTAACTGAGATTTTCAATCAGCTTCCATGGGAAAAGAAGATACGGCTATATAAGCTTGGATACCTTGTGATACTTCTTGCCTTTTCGATATTTTGGTATGGTATCAGCGACAAGCTGCTAATCCTCATCTCTGAAACAACTTGTAAACAAAGTTATGTCGTTAGTTTTGGCTCATGTGCAATCTTNCAACCTTTCCATAGTGCGTTTCTTTTCATATAACTAGGATCAGTTATCTGTCGTGAAGTTTATCTTTTGTTTTCTTTACATGTTTTCAATAAAAAATACTTCATCGTGTTCAAATGAAGAACTATGGTTTCTACTTTGAGGCCAGTTTAATTGCTTTTTGCTAAAATGAAATGGCGTTCCACATTATATAACTCAAAAGCTTTAAGTACCTACTTCTACATTGTTTACTCATGGTTACAAACTTACACTTGCATATACTGAAATCTTTCCACTGTTTCCACCTTCCCTTCCAACTACTTTTGTCTGGGTGTACTATTTTCCTTCTAAATTATCTTGAAATACATTTTTTTGATTGCAAATATATCTCAAAAAACATATGTGACATTAATATATACTCCCTCCGTTTTAATTTATGTGAACATATTTCCTTTTTAGTCCGAGCCAAAAAGAATGACCACTTTCCTTATTTGGAAACAATTTATCTTTATGCAATAATTTATAGCCACACAAAATATATGTGCCTCATTTTACACCACAAGTTCAAATGTCTTCTCTTTTTTCTTAAACTCCGTGCCCAATCAAATGGGTTCACATAAATTGAAACAGATGGAGTACTATTTATTATACATAAAGTAGTGCACTTGGACCTAAATACTCAACTGCATAGGTTGAGAAGTTTGGAATTATGTGGTTTTATTTTAAAAGTTATATGTGAGTACCTAAAATTCACTTCTTGTGCATGTTTAGTTCTCTTTTCCTTTTTTTCCTTGTATAGAGATCCTAAAGAGCAAAACGGACAAAAAAATCCCATTGTAAATAGTTAAAGGAAACACTACGTTAGAAAGTTGAAGGGTAAATGAATATAAAAAATGAACAAGAGAAAGAACCTATATGTGATAAACTTATAACTAAATACTTTAGAAAATGCATGATGAATGATAGAACTACTACAAAGCAAATCCAACCATCTTTTGGAGCATAATCAGTTACTGAATAGAAAGTCATTCATGACTTCATTTTATTGCTTTTACAAAGTATAAAAACGAGGAAATAAGAAAAAACGAACAAACACTGAATTCACATGACGACACACTAATGCATAATAGTAATTTGTGGACACTAAATCGCTTACGCACAAAAGTAGTAAAGGCGCTCCCAATCAAAGATGCTTTGTGAACAAGTACAACAAGTCCAACAATCACTGCAATCACTGTCCGACGTTCAAGGTCTAAGACAAGTATTAAGCTGTGGGAGCACTCTTCTCTTGAGTCCTGAGAGCACATGATCAACATCCGGTGTAGCTATAACTTGTTTCTTTGAGAACAAGTGCACATTGACTGGAATATTTCACCATCATAATTATCAGAATTAATTAATCATTAAGCATAATATGAAAAACCCATATTTACACATCATATAATGAAACACACATGCATACACATTACTAAACTCAATTCGTACCTCTATACATATTAACAAGCAACATAATGTAGAAGAACAATGTAGAGATAAATAGAGTTGGATACTAACCAATGGTTGTCATGATAAGAATAATGATAATGAAGCTAAGCTTAAGCAACGCCATGCTAGGAATAGCGTCTCACGCTTTATGAAATTTTGTGTGAGTGTCTCATTGCTCGATCCAAAGGTCGTAATTTATAAACCTCTTGATACATATGAAATTGCATTAATATTTAAAATGAGATATTTGACCAAGACGTACTCTATAGTGGTGTGTGCTTCTTTGTTTTTCTTTCTAAAATAAGGTTGACTTGATTTCAGATCCATTTTTTCCATATGATGCATGTTCCGATTAAAGATGAAGACAATCCAAAGCATTTATGTTATGCACATGGCTACTAAAATTTTCTACTTAACTACGCATTGTCCACTTGATTAAGGAAATTATAGACTTTTTTCTTTTGTGATTGTAAAAGTTCAGATTGAATTGTTTATAATTTCTTGTTATATTCCTAGTGGTAATTGCGTTGTGCACATAATTCAAGTAATGAACTAATTACTTGTTAATTGCTTAGTTTGCAAGACTGGATAACAAGTATACGCAGTTTGATTAGTAGTGCATATGATGCATTAATCTTTTATTTTGCAAGCTTGAATGACACGGTTATACAAGTTGATGATGAAATGATCTCCTATTCCCGTTTACGATTTGAATAGAAGAAAATGACTTTAGAAAGATCTCTTTTGTATTTTTACAGATCTCATGTATTATGTTTCTCTTATGAAAAATGTCATATAACTAAAATAACATTCGTGATGTACTACAAAACCAAATCTCTTATGAAAAATGTCATATAACTAAAATAACATTCGTGATGTACTACAAAACCAAATCTCTTATGAAAAATGTCATATAACTAAAATAACATTCGTGATGTACGACAAAACCAAATCTCTCCAATTTCATTAGTAGTGCATGTGACATATTAATTGCTTATTTTGCAAGTTTGGATAGCAAGATTTGATTAATTAGTATTGCATGTGACAGCTATGAGGCTATCCCAAAATATTGTTCTCATTCCATTCATTGAGGTTACTTGGTATCTAAATGCATAAATTAATTGGAAAAACAACAGGGAATTAGCTCAAATCCTTGCTTTTTTCTTTTTGTGTTTGCTGTTGAGATAATAGAAACTGTTGTGCAGTTTATACCATTTGTTCTTTTCAGTTTTGGTTGCAAATTATTGTGCGGTTAGAACGTCACATGCTACATCAAAATTGTCAGAAGGAAAGTGAGAAGGAGTTGGAACAATTTAGAAGAAGTAACATATTTGACCATACTTATAAAACAGTTCTCATCTATTAAATAGATGATTTACTATTACTAGTTGGATATCAATGGTGTCATTTGTATGCCTTCTTGAGTTTTTCCTTCTGATCTGATATACCGCGTTTTGGATTTTTGTATGTTTGTGGGATTTAGTTGGGGCACTCTATTGAAATAACCAAGTATGTTGCATTTGCTACATTGCGAAGATTCCCAACAGCCAAAAGGACTGGTAATCGTTATGTATTAACGATACCATTAACACTCAACAATCATGTTTGATGTAAATCTAAGTTTTCCCGACTTCTGAGTCTTTATCTTCCAATCCCTTTTAGGTGTTATGTTTCAAGCAACTTGAACTTTTGTGTATAGTTGTATTACTTCTTTTTAGCTCTTCCGAGCTAAAGTTAAGAGCCACATTTCTATGTTGAGCCGTCTTCTAAACCCTTTGTTTCTTAAACTTGTCGGTATAGTTGTGTTATTACTTACTTTTAGCTCTTTGGAGCTAATGTTAAAAGCTACATTTCTCTGTTGAACCATCTTCTAAACCATTTGCTTATTTTTTCGTCTCTTTTCTCAGGTTTGATTGAATGAAGAGATTGGAATTCTACTATCACAGTGGAGCTGGCCTTCTGGCTTCTATCGGCGTTACTCAGTTAATGATGTCGTTAGCTAACGGCGTTAGGGAGTTAATCAAGAAAGAGGGTAGTCCTCAACATAGGGAAAGCATACACTTTTTCTGATGTCCTTGAAATCTGATTTCTGGGAAATAGGCATTGAGATGAAGTGATGTAAATTGTGACACTAGTTAGAATCTTTTGTTGTATGGGTCTTTGCAAATGATTTACAAAATGTAATATGAATCATTTAGTTGCAAATATTTCCATGTTCTTCAATTTCCAGTCGAAAGCAATGTTTAGTAGAAATAGATTTTCAATGGTTTTCTTTGACAAAAGAATATTGATAATTGCTCTTAATATTTCCATGTGAAGGGGTGGCTTGGTGTAGCTGGTAAAGTTGCTGCCATGTGACCAGAACGTCACAGGTTCGAGCCGTGAAAATAGGCTCTTGCAGAAATGCAGGATAAGGCTGTGTACAATAGATCCTTGTGGTTTGGTTCTTCCTCGGACCACGTGCATAGAGGGATCTTAGTGTACTGGACTGCTTTTAATATTTCCATGTTCTATAATTTTGCCAAACTAGAGCTGTCAACTTATATAAAAGGAAAAGGAGAGGAAAATGTCATGCTTAGCTTTTGACACAAACTAGCAAATCCAATTATTAATATTATTATTCAAAGTATAAAAGACAAGTAAATAAGAAAAGACTAACAAACATTGAAATTACAGGAAGACACACTAATGCATAATTGTAATTTGTTTGTGTCACTAGAAACTAAAAATTCCATGCACACACCAATTCATCCTGAGAGCACATGATCAACATCTGATGTAGCTTTAACTTGCTTCTTCGAGAATGAAGACGCATTAACTAAAATATTTCACAATCATAAACTAATTATCGACATAATAATAAAAGTTTACATTTGAACCTCGTATAATAAAACACATGCATATACATTACTGAATTCAATTTGCATGAAATATAACACAATATTGTAGGAGAATAATGTAGAGATTAGCAGAGATGAATACTAACTAGTGGCTGCCGTGATAAGAATAGTGAATATGGAACTAAGCTTAATCATCGCCATGCTAGGAATAACACTTCAACCTATAAGAATTTTTTTGTGTAAGTATCTCATTACTAGATCGGAAGCAGGGACGGCTCAATGAAGTTGGTGGCCTAAAGCCAAATTGTATTAAGAGGCCTATTTCACAAAATTCATATAACGGTGAGACACAAAAGATCTTCTGTTCTAATCAATGGGTCAATTAAACATGAGAAAATAGCTAAACCAAAGAAATAAAGTTTGAAATTGAAAAGTGAAATCTCAAAGTCATGCGAAAGAAAGGAGGAAAAATTAGAACGGAAGAGAAAAATAAATATACTACTAACAAGACGGAAATTTGTGTTTCTTTACTCACTCGTCTGTCCATTCTTAACCAAATAAACAAATCTTAAAATTTGGACTCTTAATATTAATCGCATAAGATATATAATACATAATAATATAGTATAATATTTTTGGGGGCCCTCTAGAATTTGGGGCCCAAGGCAATGGCTTGAGCATCCTTACTCTCCAGCCGGCCCTAATGCTGCTCGGTGGGCCGGGCCTGAACCGGACCGGACCGGGCCCGCNCGGCCCTGATCGGAAGGTCGTAATTTACAGCTTGTTTGGTTGTTACCTATTTGTATTGTATCGTATTATAACTTTAAATACAATATTTATTTTGATTGTTACTTAAATTTTATTGTATCATATCGTTAAATCCATCGTTACATAATGACGAAAAGTGCCACTTTATGTAACGACGGATTTGGTGTGGTGGCGTCGTTACCTTGCTTTTCTCTCATTTTGCCCTTCTTTATTATTAAATAATTATATTTTATCTTTTACCCTGCTTTTTTATATAATAATTCTACTTCGCGTCCTATTTTTTTCTTAGTAATGCTGCAAGTTTATTCTTCATATTTTTGGTGCGTGACATCAAGAAATGATGGTAAACGATACAATCTATCTAAGCATTGTATTCATCTAACAATACAATACAATACAATAAAATATAAAACGATACAATATGAAACGATACAATATGAAACGACATGTAACAACCATCCAAACAAGCTGTTATAGTCCTCTTGATAACTAACTACTTCAGGCATGTAATATATTTGTTTATTTTTCCCTTTTATTTCTTTAATTATTTTGGAACTTTACACGGTATACCCCTCTAAGAACCCTTAACACTATATACTTCAGTTATAAAATTACATCCGGTACACATTAATTAATTACTACACGTATTCAATTAGTCAAAGGGCAATAACTACCTAACAAATTTGTCGCCTAAATTAAAGGAAATATATATACGAAGCAAATCCAAAATCTTACTACATCCATTTTAAACTTGGACATAAAATTAAAGAATAAAAAAATATTATCCATTTTTTTTAATTATGGGAACCTTTGTCCTTATTTTGTTGTATTTACAGTAAATTAATCACCGTATACTATTAAAGTATGTTAATATTTCAAGTAAAACAATATAAACACAATAAATAAAAATAAAAAGTATGTTTGATTTGAATACTGTATTCCAAATTAGAATACTGCTCTATATTTAGTTTGAATATTATATTTCAAATTAGAATATTGTGGTATATTTGGTTTGAATACTGTATTCCAAATTAGAATATTGTGATATGTTTGATTTTGAATATTGTATTCTTCATTAGAATATTATGGTATGATGGTTTGAATACTATATTCTTCATTAATCTATTGTAATTTGTTACGTTTAATTTGGTTTGGATAATATATCCCACATTAAAATATTATGGTATGTTTAGTTTGAATATCATATTCTATTAGAAAATTGTGGTATGCTTAGTTTGAATATGAAAATCAGTCCTAGGCACAATGCCTAGTGGATTCAAAAAAATAAAAATAAAAAAAGAATTGTATTCCAAATTAGAATATCATGACATGTTTGATTTGAATATTGTATTTTTTATTAGAATATTGTGGTGTATATATTAGTTAGAATACTAGTATATTCTAATATGTTTTTAGTTTAGATATTGTATCCCAAATTAAAATATTTTTACGTTATTTTAACTTTTCTTTTGATTACATAGATAGAAGAGAAAAACAAAAATAAAATAAAATACTTCATCTGATAAATAAATGGTAAAGAGGTAATATCTAAAAAATGTTCTATTTTAATATTCTTCTTCCTTCCGCGTCCCCATGTTATAGAAAAGAATAGAGAGGGTTGTTTATTTAGAAACAAGAGAAATTATTAGGGTACAATTTTTTTTGGTGAAAATGTGTAATTCTAATTCCGTTGGATGATGAAGTGTTTTAAGGAATTTATTAAGTTGGAGTGAAAGATAATCTAGCCCCTTAAAAGATGAGATATGTTTAATAGCATATAATGATATTAAAAATTTAAGAAGTAAATAAAATTTTATAAAGTAGGTATAGAATTTAAATAAATATTTTAAAAATATATGGAGTTAACTGATGTTTTTAATAGGTTAACCACTTAGATTATCTTAACTATTTCTTCACTTGTTTCTATGTTCAGGTCTTGTCATGATGGCCACCCTTTCTTATTAAGGTTGCTTCTTCAATATTTTATTTTTGAAATAATAAGTTGACTTAAATTCAGATAAATTTTTTCATGTGAAGTATATTAAGATTAAATATGAATCCAATCAAAAGCATTTATACTATGCGTCCTGATTTTCTTACCATATTTGATTTTTCTATTTCTTGAAGGAAAGGATAATATATTTATTATAATTGAGCTTTCCTTTTTGTAGAAAAAAATTATAATTCTTCCATGTTTGGCTAGTCCTTTTTCTTGTAGGAAAATATTTGGACTTCTATAAATTGAAAATCCTTCCTTCTTATTCAGTAGCATCCACAATGTAGCCATATGGGGTTTGAGAGTCGTGTTTAGGGGGAGAACTTTACGGGACAAGTATAGTGTGTCATTTGTGTTTGCCTCTTCGTGAGGTTGTTCTCTCGATATTTTGTACTCTCTTTTATATAGTGGATTGTTCATCTCCGTCATGGACGTAGGTCAATTGATCGAACCATGTTAAATGTTTGTGTCTCTTTTGGTATATTTCTCGTTTGTTGTCTGATTTATCGTCGTTCAAGGTTTGCTTTGCTAGTTTACGCATGACACCTGATTTTTTCGATCGTAACATGCACGTGGCTATTAACTTTTTCTATTTAATTACACTTGACCACTTGATTAAAGGAAATTATAGGCTACTGCCTCATTCCTCGAAAAATAAATTGAATTAAATATTTAAAATAAGACAGTTGACCAAGAAGTACTCTATAGTGAAATTTACTTTTTCGTTTATTTTTTTAAATTAATGAACTGACTTAAATTCAGATCCATCTTTTTTCGCGTGAACCATGTTAGGATTAAGGATGAATCCAATCAAAAGCATTTATATAGTGCACATCGCTATTAAATATTTCTATTTAATTACACATTGTCCACTTGATTAAAAGGAACTATAGAATTCTTTTTTTATTGTAAATATTTTTAAGTTAGGATTTATAGAAGGTAATAAATTTACAATTAAAAGTTCAGAGTATTAAATAGTTTATATAATATACTTCGTTGTTAGCATTCATAATATTTAATCGAATGAAGTATACAATATTGGAGATAATTAGTAGTTTCATCTAAATATCTATAATAGTAATAGGCGACTAAGGCCAAACATTGATAATTAAAAACAGTCTACTAAAAATATTGAAGGGGAGCTTGGAGTAATCGTTAAAGTTGCTACTATGTGACAAAAAGGTCACGAGTTCGAGCCGTGAAAACAACCTCTTGTAGAAATGAAGGGTAAGACTACATACAATAGACCCTTGTGGTCTGACTCTTCTCCGAACCCCCGCGCATAACAGGAGCTTAGTGCACCAGACTACCCCTTTTAATCTACTAAAAGTATTACGATGAAATTGATTTTCGAGTATCGAGTTCCCATAATAGCCTTTCTGAGCGTAGAAATTGACTAGAAACTAATTAGTTGATCCATATCTTATTTAAACTTTTCAAAAAAAATAAAAAAATAAAAAAGAGGA